ATCTCGTTCTCAATGAACACGGAAATCATTGCTCTCGTCTCAGTCTCGAAATACTCATTGTCATTATCGACTCCTCCCGCGATGACTCCGAGTCAATTTCTCTCATTTCGGTTTCGCGTTTTTCGTGTTTTTTAATATAAAATCTCGGTTTTTGTCTCGGTCTGTCTCGTCTTGGTTTTCTACATGTAAAAAACGCGAAAAACTGGAAACCGATACGAAATAAATTGACTCGGATTAATCACGAGAGGAGTCGATATTGCGTATTTTGAGACTGCGTCGAGAGCAAAGATTTTCATGTTCATTGAGACCGAGATCATGTCTCTAAAGTTTTGTCTCGTGATGTCACTATTTGTCAGTGCTAGATCAATTTTTCAGAATAGGTTCTTATCGAGGGGCTATTCACAGGCGAATTGGGTGACACCGCGATTACAAAATGTAATCGATTACCCAGGATTGCGGAACTGATTACGCTGATTACCATTGTCTATGTGGTAACCATGATTACCAAGAGCACAGAATGAAATTACATGATTTCAAATGATTTCATCGATTACATTCTGTGATTATCAAACATCTGTAATCATTGAATTCACAAAAAATGGCCTTTTATTAAATATGAATTGATGGAATCATTAATTATTAGAACCTGCAAAGAAATGAGGAAGGAGGGGCGGGGATTAGAACAGAGGAACGCAGTCTCCATCACTCCACCTAAAAATTTGGGCATTTATAAGAGCTATCAGCAAAATAAATTTACTGAATATCTACCATTAATGGAGAATGAAACTTACCAGCAGATAATTTAGAGATAATTCAGTCGTTGGTTCTCCAGAATAAGAAGAAATTTTAACTCTGTTGAATCAATTTTCTACGTACAAATGCTCTCTGTAAAACGCATTGTCTATGCAAGATTCTGAACCATAAACATCTGGGATTCCAAGAAAAATTGACCCAAGGATCTATGAGACTTACCGTTGGTAGAAATGACGCGCTCGAAAATTCAAAAACAAAATTCACAGTCTCACTAGAAGCAACCACAAAAGATTACAGTGATTACAAATGATTACCACTTGATTACAAATATGGTAATCATGTGATTACCATGATTTTATTGATTTCACTGGAATTACAATTGATTACATCAGCGAGTGACACCACGATTACGCCTGTGAATAGCCCCTCGGTCCTTATCATTCATAAATTAGCTAAAATGCAATGAACACAAGATTGGGAATTGTCTTGAGACCAAATTTTTATTTATTCATGTGTATCTTCGATAAAAGTATTAGTTTTAGAATTTTAACTGTCAACAAGAAATTGCGAATAATGAAATTAAATAGTAAATAACATCAATAACCTACATTGAAGGAATTTGGATAAAACTCTTGACAGAAATAGGCAAATTAAATTTGAAAAATAGATTTCGGAAAAGTTGCATGTGAAGAACAGTTTCTCATCTTCATCTAGCTCCCTATTCTTATCCCAACGTCGAGTATAATTCAGGGCAGTTCTCAATGCCCGCTTCATTTGCTTGTCTTTGAAAATTGTCTTCCCCTTGTTTTGCCTCTCGTTAGCAATTTAAACTGGGAATAAAGAAGTATTTTCATTTTCTTTAGCTCTTAATTGTGAAGTAAAACATTAAAGGATCCGAACTGGACCAGGAATGTTAAGTCCAATTTTACCAGCTTTGACTGAGCCATACCAGATACAGATAACCTGTTCCGAAACGGACTAGATCCTTGTCCGGGAGATCTGATCAGAAAATTCTGACCAGTATTGGATCTAAAACTGATTTAGACCCAAGTCAGGTTTGACAATTTGAGCGAAATTTCTACTCGGGCACCTCTCAAATTCATCATTACAATTTTTTTAATTACAATTCAGCAGTGAAGTGGTAAACCGGTACAAGTCGATTTTGACTATTGGCCAGTTTTCAATGAATATCTCAAAATCTAAGGGAAATAGCAAAATTGCTGTCATAACCTTTTTTGTAGAGCTAATTAAGAGCTACAAAAAAGAAAATTATAACAATTTCGCTATTTCCCTTAGATTCCGAGATATTTATTGAAAATGGCCAATAGTCAAAATCGACTAACACCGGTTTACCACTTCGCTACTGAATTTTATCTGCATAAAATATTGGGAACGTGTATTCAGTGGGTTATCATTTTCCATTAGTACGAGTGTGAATAAAGGCGCTTGCGGGACAGGAAAACAATTTCTGAGTATTAATCGATGCTTTCTTCCCTCGTAAACCAGTAGCGAACAATTAATTTTCATATTTTTTTTTTGCCTCAGAACTCGATGAAATTGCATTTTACACAACAATTGCATGGCGAACAAAGCGAAAATGAAGAGTATTGACGTAAGAAAGCTGTTCCCCAAGTGGCCATCTCAAGTTATTTTCCCACCCCTCAAATTCATCATTGAGATGTTTTTCTCTCCGCAAATAAAAGCCTGCAATGCAGAGAGCACTCTTTACCGCATTATCGCTGTTACTCAACGGGCGTCTAATAAAATCCAGCAAAGATCTTACCTCTCCAGTGGAAAGTTCGTTACGAATACTCTTAGAGCCACTTGTATACTATAAAACTCCACCTTATTACCTTATCCCCTCGAGATCACTTTCATTCAAGTAATATTCAACTTTTCCCGTCTATAGACAATAGAAATGCGCATTTCTACAGCATTTCGCTTGAGGATGTTTAACCTCTCAGTCCGAATAACTTCAATCTCATTTCGTTTGTTTTAAGAAGTATTTTGAGGGTTTGAAAACATTAGATGAAAAGTATTCTACGTCTACCATCTAAATTGAATTTCCTCCTCCCTCTCGTTTTGGAGAAATTTTACTATTCAGATTTGTTTGGAGTCTTTTTAACCATCCATAACGCCAGATGAGCGTAATGAATTCGAAAGATTTTATTCCATATTGATGAGGTCTTCCTAACCTTAAAATGTCCCATGAGAACAGTCAAAATAAGGAAGAAAATTGAAAAAATCATAGGAGAAATATTTCAGTATGATGCATCATGGGAATTTTTCCTTTTTACTAGATCTTTGCCTGAAGAAAAAATAAGTGGATAATGGATTTTTTTATAAATGAATATAGTTATTGTTGCTGATGAATTAGTAATTTGCTTCCGAATGAATTCTCTATTTTTATTCTTATTTTACTATTCTCTGCTTCTGTTTTTTTTATCACGCAGTATTTTATTCTGTCAAATAATACTGCATTCAGATCCTTTCAAGATACTCGACTTCGTTTTTAGTCCAGAAGAATGGTAGTCCAGAAGAATAGTAGACCGATAATCCTAGAATTGGATTCCATTAGGTACGAAATTTTGACATTTAGAGGTTAAACACGTGAATTTTCTGCGTGTCGAGTTTTCAAAAGATTTTAATAATTGATTGGTGCGAGTATCGACCAAAAAAGAATGTCAATGCGTTCGATTTAGTTGAAAATAGGAATACAAATTTGTCTAAATTTTTGACTTAAGGGATTTTCATGTAAGAAAAAAAAGGAAAAAACACTGCGACTCCCCCATTGTGCGACCACTCAAGGGTTAACCAAGGTTCAATGAAGGTTTAATCAGTGTACAGCCGAGATTAAATCAGGGTTTATTCAGGATTTAGCTAGAACTTAACCCAGGTTCTGTCAGAAGTTAGTCAGGACCATGAATTAATATCAATAGGGGAGACCGGAGCAAAATGGACAGTGGGGCAAAATTAGACCTCTCTGTGTTTTTTTGTTTTTCAATGAGACAAATGAGTCCAGTGTTTTTTTCGATGTGACGTCGTTTAACAGATTACAAAAGTACGAAAATAAGTTTTTGAATCAAAAAAAGGAATTTCTATTTAAAACAATCTCTAATCGTCGTTATGAGCCATATTCTAGTTTTTACGGGAATGAGAAAATTTCTGGTCTCATGGTTCTGGTCTCATGATATTTCATCTTACAGTTATGAATTTTTGGAAGTTCATCATAAATCGATTTTTTTGTACAGTCGAAAATTTGTTGGCTATAAATTTCCGATACACTTGCAGGGAATTTCCATCACATTTTAGTTCCACTAAAATTTCAAGGAATTTCATCATTGAAAATTTACAATCTCATTGAAAAATCAATGAGAACTGCAACTGCAAGTTTAATTATTTCCTGAAACGAAAGAAATTATGAAATTTTCAGTAAACATGATCTTGAATTTTCAATTAATTGGAAACTCAGCGTTATTTAACACTAAATATTAATTTTTTCGTAGAAAATTCTAATAAGTTGAGGAATTCTTGTCCTAAAGCTGCTGGAAAAGTTGGACTTTTCTGTGAAATCTGAAATTTCATCTTTTGGTTGCACCTAAATCACATTCAATATTACCTTTTGAAAATTGCCAGTCGGCTGTCTATTGATCGTAAACCGAGTGGAATAATCAGGTCTCTCCCGTCTTACCTCACGAGGATCAAACTTTGTCATGGTCATACTTTTCAAAGATCAAACGTCGCAAGCGTTATACCTGATGGTAAGACACACATACATACGTACGGACGAGGTTTAAAAATTTGATTTTCGGACTTTCTGGATCATACTGGATCGATATAACACAAAATACCAAAACTTCAATTTGAACGATTACAAAGCAAAAATAGTTTGACATTTATAAATGATGGAAAAAAATCAATCTGACAAAAAAAATTATATTCAAAATTCAAAATGTTCAAATATTCACTGGAACAGTTACTTGAAAATTGATAATTTTCGTATTCGCTGGATAATAATAAGAATGCCCTTCCGATTCACCCCCTTCCGCCACCAAAGAAATACAAACGAATCATCTTAAAAATGAGATATGATTCATCATCTTCAACATCATCATTTGATCAGGAGATACTGATGATTGAAGGTCTATATTAGTTCATTTCATCCTACTTGATGCCATCAGCAACAAAAATACGGACTTTCTTGTTTCGAATGAATTTAAAATGTTCTTGCGCCTTTCTGTTCGCAGCTATCAGCGATTGTGGACAGTATTTACGCCGAACACGCTCACACAGCTGGTTCGTTCACACGACTGCCGAGTAAACAACTATTAGTGGGTGGTGGTGCTGATCCGAAAGCGTTGCAAGGTGCCAAAGGAATCACCAATTTCGTCGGCTGTCTGCGCAAGGTAACATATCTTGATTAGTAATAATATTATATTTAAGACAAATTACCTTTTTTTCTTCCGAATGGGAGTTTTGTAGTCGGTCAATTTGACGATCTTCTAGTTTTGTCTGGAAATGATGTGGAATGTCATGAAACGTCATGAATGATATGTTCAGAAAATGAATGATGTCATAAGCGATGTGTTCAGAACATGTATGTGTGAGCAGATTCTCGAGAAAATTTTCATAAATGTTCAAGAAAAAACCTGAAATTATTCCAGTAAATTGAGTATATGTCAAGGTATTTGCGTTTTTCTGATTGGAATGAAAGTCTGAAACTTACACTGGTACAAAAATTAGAACGATTCAGTTACTGTGAAGGAAGCTTCTCACAGGGAACGAATCGTGGTAATAATTAATAAGCCTCATTAACAGCAACTAAATCCTTCTATCAGTATAAGCTACTAATTAATATTCCTAAGATAAACTCATCTATAAAATTGTAGATCGATTAACTGAATATCGTCACTAAAGATGGAAGTTTATGATAAATTTTTACAAGACCAAAACAAATTTTTTTGTAAAACAAAGCTGCGTCATAGAAAAGTTTTGCTTGAATCTTACTGAACAGTGGAAATTTTTGAAAAATACAAAGAAATGAAAAGAAAACAAGTCGGAAATGTCTAATGAATGGACATATCAGGGCACAATCATATGTCTATGAGAACAATATTTCTAAATAAGGATTGGAGAAAAATTCTCTATGAAATACAAAAATCAGTAGAAACAGGACCAAAACGTCTTTGATGCAGATCAGAACATGGAGGATTAGATAAATACTCAACGGTGAGTTGAAAAACTTCGCGTCAAGATGACTGTTGGTGATGACACTGACTCTATTGGGGAGATTTGATACTGGGAGGTGTCGATATGGGGTGATAGAGTCTAACTCTGACGTTGATTGTCCAAGAACTGAAGTTACATTGAAGGTGATGAAGCCTCACGTACTCAGTTTGTATAGTGCCTGATCACTTTGTTACAGTTGTTTTCGTATCGGATGATTCTGCAGGTGGCCAGAGTCTGGAGTTCGAGAATCTCTGAATTTCTGGATTTTTATTGAGAATTACTTTGTGTTTGTAAGGTAATTGGCCTCCTTTGAATGAGTTAATGTCTCGAGTCCGGTGTGCGTGGGATAATTGAACAATGCCACTTCGTTTTGGCCTGTCAATCAGTTTTCATTACCCTTTTTTATGGTTTTGTCTTTGTCTCTTTGGCACGTGTCTTTCCTCTGCGCTGTGCGAAAGGTGATGGGGCATACATGCTTCTTCTCCAGCCATCTTCTTTTTTTATACAGATGGCGTCACTGGTGAGCCTAGCTTGTCGTCGAACCCGCATCGTTCCGTGCTACCGTTACAGCAATGCTTCTGCTCTCGTACGGCGGGAGTCGGTTAACTGGGCGTCGTTGCGCAGCGTTCATGATCACGTCTTTGTCGCACGAATTTGGCCCGGCTATACCTCATTCCCGTTCTACTTCAATTGATGTTATAGACTTGCGACATTCTTGAGGATTATTAAAGTAGATTTGTCAGGAAATCATTGTTTTTAGTTACAAAAATATTACAGAAACTTTGAAATAGACGAATTTATAATGAGAGCGCTGTCCCCGTAGCTGAATTATTATTAAAAAAACGCCAATGTCCCAATATCTGAATCCTTCTGTCCCAGTAACTGAATCACACCTTATTGCCTCGAAAATTAAGACTTCATAATAAAAATCGTTCATTGAATAATAGACTGGTATGTATATCATCACACACTGATAGAATGGATTAGTTATTATTAACGAATGGATTTTGGTTGGAGATTAGGGTCTATTCGGTCCCACCAAATGCTCATTCGTTAATAGTTAACGAATGTATATTTGAGGAGGCTTGTTTGACTTGACTTTCGCCATTCAAGTGAACCATTCGTTAACTATTAATGAATATTCATTTGGTCATATTCAACTCTACCATTCGTTAATAGTTAACGAATCTCGTTTGGAGTAAATGAATCATTCTATCAGTGCAGAATCATCTCATTGTGCAAATAGTAGAAACATACAATAAGTTTTCTCAATAAAATAACACTCTTCAGGTTCCAGTCGGTAGGTCTATAGACTCCAAAATCTCTTTTTAGAGAAAATTCAAAATCCTATGACGAAAAAAACTTTCAGATCATTTATTCACATGCACTGAAGGATTTTCAATAGTTTCACTTACGACAATATCCCACATGAGGAACAATGGGAAGCCAAACGGTAAGACACGAATTCAGCGACTCGGACGTAGATTAGGTCTGATGTTCCAACTAGTGATTCCGCGAAAGACTTCACGAGACAATACTTTGGATAGATGGTCTCGGTCTCAATGAATATGGAAATCTTTGGCCTCGTCTCAGTATCAAAATACGCAGTATCGACTCCTTTCGTGATGACTCCGAGTCAATTCATCCCATCTCGAGATACGCATGTCTCATCTCATACGGCATACCTTACCTGGACCTGATCATGGCCGGATCAGGTTCCCCTTACTGAACTTATAAAATTTTCGAAGTTAAGGATTCCCTGCCTACCTTACCCGGTCCTGATCATGGCCGGATAGAGTTGGCCATATCCGGTATACTCAACGACCATACTCGTTTTCAATCAAGGAAGACTGAAAAAGACCCTGAAATTGCCCTTATCAGACATGCCGGATGGAACTTTAATTTGTTTCTATCACGGTACGCTCAAAAGGCCCTGACTTGGGCATGATCAGGCATGCCTGCTTGAACTTTACAATTTATTGATAAGGTGATCATACAATGGTCCCCTTCGTAATCAGGTGTACCGTATTGATACCGGAGCAGAGCCTTCCCTGCCAAACGGCCTGCCAGACAAAATTTCTGCTCGGGTCGGTCTCAAGTTTTTTTTGTTGTAATGTAATATCTCGATTTCTCTTTCGGTGTGTCTCGTCGCGGTCCTCTACACATAAAACACGTGAAAAACGGGAAACCGAGATGAGATGAATTATATCAGAGTCATTCACATGGACCAAGAAAATCGCTCCAAAGTATTGTCTCGTGAAGTCTGTCGTTGAAAATGAGCGCTATTTTTCTGAAAGTTAGTGACGATGTCACTGGAAATCAGTGATAATCATTGAAAATTGGTGATCAAATCACTGAATCCTAGGATTTCGCACTTGTTGGATTTCACGATAACAAAACCTTGATAATTGAGGATATTTTTTTTACAGCCTTCGAGTCGATTTTCGGATCCCATTCGGCATTCTATTCAATCTTATGCATGCGGCTGTGGATTCTACGCACTCCTATAGAATAGAGGAGTAGCATAGGAAACCACAGAAAATCCATGCCGGTACAGGCGGTTCCTCTATTAGCAACTTCCTGCTCGTTGGAGTCTTCCGTTGCAAAATTAGGTTCCACTTGGAATCGAACTCGCAACCTTTCGCACACTAGACTTACTCTAGAGTGGACTTTTAGTCTACTTGGCCACCGACGTCAGTAATAATTGGGGATAGATCCCTAGTTAACCGTGAAATTTCCCTGAGAATCAGGTTTGGATCCCTGGAAATCAGTGACGTATCCCTGAAAATCAAAACTTTTTCGTCTCTGTAGTATTTCCAAAAAATGTCACATCATCAACTTTCACATTGTTTCTTGCATCTTGATGACTTAAAATATATAACATAAAATCACGTTCTTTTCTGTTGTATAGTATGCCAATAATGTGATACAATGCATTTATGTACCTGCCCAGGAAATCTTGGATTGTAGGCAATTTTCGCAACAACATTAAAACAGTTGGGATTCATTCCGAAATTCACTCTCGATGTAATTAATAGAAAGAAAAAGGAGACAAAGACTTATACACATAAAATAACGGTCCCATGTAATCTGTCGCATGTCCATAAAGGCTCGAGAATCGAGTGCGAAATCTTCCCTGATAATTGGCAGTTTGGCTCACCTACTGGAAGGGATAGAACCAATGAACCGTGGAGGATACTTTATGACCCATGAAACGGAAACGATAGGGACACATGTGTGAAGGTTTTCGGAGTCAGTGTTCTGGAAATAAGAAAACTAAAGCAATAGAAATAAAACACGGAAGGGACAATACGTTGATAATGGAGCGAACTGTTGGGTATTGTGGATCAACCAATGAAATTCCCGTCGATAACTTGGTCTCTCGAAGGTTATTAGAATAGTTTTGATGAACGTCATGTGTTCAATATAAAGAAGTTCATTTCCGCTGATTATCTATTGCCAACATACTGGCCCGAATCAACGTACAAATTGTGATCATGTTTAACCCATACCGGTGCCAAAATCATTAAACGGATCTGTATCAACAGAGTGGGAGACGCTTCGGTGCGTTAGTGCGCCATTAAAAACACGTGCGCATACCACGACAAAATGACGAAAAGGCGGGAAACACTCAGCACTGAAATGGGATAAGCAAAAATCTCCGTTCTTTGTGATTAACTCTTGAGTGGTCGCACAATAAAAGAATTTCTGCTGTTTTTGGATTTTTTCTTTTGACACGACAACTTATTTATACTTTGGTATTATCGAAGTACAATTACCTGAGTAGAAATTTCGTCGGGGGCCCCCAACGTGCATTGGGAACCTATGAGTTTGTTGCGGGTTACTGACTCGTAGGTTGTACTTGACGTGTAACCCGTAGGTTCCAAACGCAACAATACTCGTAGGAACGATTATTGTCGGTTACAGATGAGTTCACCACCGATCACCAACTCACGTACCTCAACCCGTTTGTAACTTATTTGTCCCTTATAAAGTGTTAACGGCATTCAATTATCCAAGTCCAACCGGGCATAACTGGTCGAGAACTCATCAGTACACTGAGTAAGGGTCAAAATCAACAGTCAGAAATGAAGGTCAAACATAAGGATCAGAAATAAACGTCAGAAATAAGGGTCACGAGAGTCAGGAATAAGGATCAGGAATTAGTGTTGAAAAT